GTACCAAATATAAAATTTCAAATATTTAAATAAATATCAAATCTAAAAATTTATACCAAAAAATTTTAAATTAAATATTAAATATAACTCATACCAAACTCTACCATACCAAACATGCTCTAAATGTTCACCCCTAATTAGCACAATCAATCAAAAACGGTGAGAAATGCTGGGTAGTTGGGCTGGGCTAGTGGTGGGCCTATCAGAACTGATTCTTCTAATATCGAATGGTTAGGCCCAAAAATAAAAGGAAATTTGTAGGGTAAAATAAGTAGCGCCGTTGCCGGGGATCGAACCCGGGTCGCCCGCGTGACAGGCGGGAATACTCACCACTATACTACAACGACCAGATGCCAATGAAGCTTAACATTTACCAACATAAACGATTTGCTAAGAAATGGCTTAAAATTATCAGACCCTCAACGAGATTGGGTTGAGAATGGTTTTGAATTCTTGATACAATATTTAGAATTGGTGACGCGTGACAAGGGAATACTCACCACCACCACTACCTCTCAGGAAACTATAACTAATACTTGTTCTCACAGATTTATTACCAAGAACTTCACCTTCATTTTTAACAACATTCATGAAGGTTTTTCAAAAAATAAGAAAAAACTGAAAGAAGAAGATATTGCATTACCTTCCTCACCAAAGAGTCACAAAGGGAATGATGAATAAGAAAATACAAAATGCTACAGTATTTGCACTTATTCTATCCAATCTCTGCCTCTCAACAGCACCACTTACTGTTGTTGAGTTTACAACATCCTTTGTCTTATTGCCTACCTGCTTACTGAAATACAGACATTCAATTTTTTCTGTTAAGTAAGGAACTTTAAGCACTTGGTTCAAAAAATATTCTGAAAAGATTGCCTCACCTTCCAGGAAAAATACAGTTCCCATGACCTGCAAACATGGCCACAGTTTAGGAAAAAATGTCACATAAAAGTACTCTAAATAGATCAGTGAGTATGACTTCTCCATCCCACCAAATCCACCTTCTCTAGGGATTAGGATTACTTGTTAATGGATGATCGAGAGACAAGACTGGCGGAGGAACAGTTTGGATTTTGTAGTGTTGTAACATTCTTGATTCTAGGCTACGGAAAGGTTAATTCTTTTTTTAGTCAATGCTTTAATCCCTTCTGGAGCTATCTAAGTTGAGGGGTTTCCAATTATCTAATCTATCTTTTCTAGAAATCAAATATAAGACTAAGACAACGTAAAACAGAAGAAACTAGTGTTTTAAGGAATAACTGGAATATAAAGATGAAATATTGATACACTTACTTGGATCAGTGGTAGTAATCATGGCAGCCCCCTTGAAGTCACAAGAACCGGAAACCTTTCCTTCCTTTTGGTAATAGCTATCGAATGCATAGGATGCGTGGTTCTTCACATTATTAGGCTGGTAACAATCTTCTCCAGGTTGAATATCACTGCAATTTGCTCTCCCCGGACCACAAGCCCAATCCAAGGCTGCCTGCAATGTCTTTGAGTCAATCCCATCCATTACAATGCAATACGTCTGGTTTGTTGTATCATTTGCCAAAAACGTCCCACTTCCTGATACATGTAGCAAGTACACTGGTGTTGAATTCCCATAAAACAACCCCCAATTAGCCTCTGATACAGGGGGTGACCTCAAGTCCTCGTTGAACAACTCGTATATGTACACGCTGGAAGTGATCTCTGGGTGCAAAGGAGTTCCACTATGGTCTAAAACATGCTTAATGAGGTTCGAATTATACGTATCAGCATTGTCTATGGTAGCATAAGGCTCTTTTGAATCACCCTTGGAAGGCCATCCAGTTTCAGTAACAAGCACCACAACATCAGTGACATTCAAATTCTTCATAGAAACATATGCAGCATCAATCATGGCATCAAGCACATTAGTGTAATGCAACAAAGTATTAGGATCAACCATCTCTTTAGACGGTGTCAATGGCTTAAACAATGAATTATCAAGAGGAACCACACCTTTATTCTCCATAAACACATAATAAGGATAAAGATTCAACATCAAAGGAGACCCAGTTCTGGATAAAAATTGAAGCAAAGGCACCATAGTTGAAGACAAACTCAAGTTAAAGAAGGCTTGAGAAGGAGGGAACGTATCTAGAACTATGGACGCAGCATGTGGAGTTGAAATCTTGACTTGGGTATGCAAATTTGCAGCTACCAAAGCACTGTAGAGAGACTCGATTGCAGGAAGGAGCAAGGGAGCCGACGAGGGAACGGTGGTTAGCAACTCGTCACCAACAGCCACGGCGGTTATGAGGGTTTGGGGGTAGTACGCGACGACGTTCCGACCAATCCAGGAAGCCGCAGTAGTGTTGGATGACCCGATTGCTAGAAGCTGGTTATTGGGTACACTGATCATGACCCGGATCTTGGTTTTCGCCAGTGCTTTGAGTATACCTTGGTTCGCATCGTACAGTCGAACGTGGGTAATCTTCTGCACTTGTAAGAACGAGACCAAATCAGTCGGAGATAACAAATTCGACACATCCGTCCCAATATTAATTCCCACAAACGGTTCTCTATCTTGTTGATTTTGCTGCTTGATTTCTTGAACTAAAGTCGATGATTTCACTGCAAAATACACAAAATTTCAAGCTTTTAATAGAAAGTTGAAATTTTTATAAAAATTTTCTCAAAATGGGTCTTGGGTATTACCTGTGGAAAGCAGCACAGAGTAGAAGAAGACAAATGTGAAGATAGAATGAGTGAGTTTAGAAACCGCCATTTAAGAGGTGCTCGAGCTTTACTTCTGCATCCTCTACTCCAACCAGAGCCAGAGATCCTTGCATTATCTTCACAAGACTTTTCCTTTCTTTCGTTTTCGATACGGGATTGACTTTGGGAAATCTGTAGTACCAAGAAAGAAAACAACATTCAAGAAAAAGAAGCAGTTCTTTTATGTAATTTTTTCCTGCTTCTCAAACAGTGCGTTCTCTCTGCAACAACAACGCCTCACCTAGCTAATGTAAATTCACTAAAATAACCTTGCGGACGGACATCATTAAACTTGGCTGTAGTTATGGTATTTTCACTATTTCGTACAATTGCGTAGGGCTAAATAGTAAAATACATGCAGGCTGGCGCTTTCCACAGGCGGCCCGGTCTTCACGGTGTCTCCACTCTAATTCCGACATCTGCCGTTTATCATTATAAGTTTGTTTTAGGTTAAAACCCTTTTTTGGTCCCTGAACTATTGTAC